GAGTGTGGGGGGGCGGTGTGGTGGTGGTGGTGGTGGGGGAACAGAGGCAGCAGGAGACCAGAGCTGGACCCCAGACACTTACTCAGGGACCACTTGCTTGATCTGTGGCTTCACGTATCCGTCCACTGCTTTGGCTGCCGAGGGGGGAACAGTGATGAGAACCAAAGTTCTCCAACAAAGTAAAAGTGAAATCTCTCTTATGAATCACATCTTTCCTTAGGATAGGACACAGCCACCTGATTTTATCTTAGGATCTGACACCAGCACCCAACACTTCAACCTGGTCGGGCGGCCTGGCAGAGGGAAGCCTCAGTCCTAACACTGCCAGTGAAGGGATAGTCCAAGTTGGCTTGCATTGCTTATCCATTCTTCAGACCACAGAAAGCATGTACTTCAATACAAATCAAAAACCAGCATTAACTGCAAACTAACTGTGAAAGGAAAACACATCTTTAAAGAGTTTATAGTCGCAGACGTGGCGGAGGGACGGGCCTGGCTCTGTGTCCCAAGGCACAACATTAGGACCAACAGGAGGAGGTCAGAGAGGGCGACGTCTCGTCAGATGTGGAAGAATGTTGTCATAGAACTGCCCCCAAAAGGAATGGGAATGTCGCGGGAAGAACTGGTTTCCTTATCACTGGATCTTCTCACTAGGGAGGTATGCGATGGATCCCGCAGAACACTCTACGCCTTAGAGGGGAGCTGATTTGACCTGAGGATCTCAGAACTTACTCTGAGTATCTCCTCTGTGGGAAAGGGAGTGTCACTCAGGTGTCTGCAAGCTCCTCCGTGCCCCGGGGGGACAGCCTGATGGTCACTCATTCTGGTGAGTGTAGTTTATGCCTGGTGGCTGTTGAAAAGGATGCTGGTGTATGTCTCTCTTCCACTCACCACAGAATCCCACCGGGATGTGGCCGGCTAGGGGAGAAGCCTGAAAGCGACCTGGCCAGCCATCGTTATGACTTTGTAAAAGGCTGATTATGGAAACCCACTGAAGTAGGAGTGTGAGAGTCTGGAGTCGGCGAATGAAGTCCCGTTTCCTGGGAATGTGAGTATGGGAATAAGCGTAATCCTGACTATATTAGACCCTGAAGGCAACACGCAGTGAAATGCTACGTGGCTCACAAACTGCTTGGTTCCCGAACCTGCTTCTTCTAGGCAACCCATGTCAGGGGGCCACCTTGTCATAACATCTCCTGCTTTTTGTGTTTTACAGTCTACGGAGAGTTTTATAGATTGGCAGGAAAGATTAAAAAAAAAAACACAAAGAAATGCTGTAAAAAACAGAATGTAATAATCTAGATTGGCTGTGCTAACAAAAAGAAGCAGTGAGATAGATTTTAATTCAAAATACCATATAGCCGAAACCGGTTTGGCTCAGTGGATGGAGCATCGGCCTGCGGACTGAGGGGTCCCAGGTTTGATTCCGGTCAGGGGCATGGACCTGGGTTGCGGGCACATCCCCAGTGAGGGGCGTGCAGGAGGCAGCTGATCGATGTTTCTCTCTCATCGATGTTTCTAACTCTCTATCTCTCCCCCTTCCTCTCTGTAGAAAATCAATAAAATATATTTTTTAAAAAACCATATAAACCTAAAATGTCCTGGTTTTTAAAAATACAGCCATCCCATTAGGGTGGGAAGGCATGGCAGGTACGAAAAAGGTCGACTGGTTGGGCTCTGTAGCCTAAGTACAAATCTTTGTAAAATAAAACGTCAGCAAAATAAAACTTAAACGTTAAAAGAACAATAACACGCTGAGGAGAATAATTGCTATGTATAACCAAGGGTTTATTTACTACAGAAAACTATTTACACATCTTTAAGAAAAACAGGGACTCCACAAGAAAGATAAGCAAGGAACATGAACGCACCTCACGGGAAAAAACACTAATGGCCAATAATGTAGACGGGAAGAAATATAGGCTGTGAGGCTAGACTAGCTGTGGGCATAGGCCGTTTTGAAATGAATAAAACTATTGAAAAAGAAGACCGTACCCTTTTATGTAATGATGTTTACTTTGAATTTATATTAGTTCACACAAACACTCCATCCATGCTTTTGTTCCGGCCCTCCGGTCCAGTTTAAGAACCCACTGTGGCCCTCGAGTCAAAAAGTTTGCCCACCCCTGGGCTAGACTCTCTGAGCTCAAGTCCTGGCGTGGCCTCTTCCTAGCTGTGTGGCCTTTGGCAAATTATTTACTTCTCGGTGCCTCAGTTCCTCATAGGTAAAGGGGGACAGTCATAGTAACTACTTCACAGGCCTCTTTTGAGGATTAAAGGAGATACTACATAAAAATGTGCCCCAGAAGGGACCTGGTACTCAGTGAGCGTGCAACAAATGCTAGCTGTTACTGGTGGTGTATTTATTATTATTGTCATTATCATGATATGAAAAGGTGTTTGACCTTACCTGGAATCAAATAAATGAAAATAAAACCCGAGGTATCATTTTTATGCCAATCAGAGCCAAACCTGAAACCGATGAACAGATTTTATGACTGGCAGGAGGATGAATGGATTTTTTCTTTTCTTATCCTTTTCTGGCCATTTTACAATAAATACATAAAACTTTTATGCTCAGAAAACAAAACCATTTCTGATTTGAAAAACAGAATTTTACCTTCCTAATTTTGACTTCAGCTTGTGTTAAAAGCAATGTGTTCCCTTCAATTTGGTATCTGGGGTTAGTGGCAGGTGTGTTTTCTGTATGACTGCAGAATACAGCCCAGGATTTACATCTGCCCTGGATAACGCTCAAGTCACTGTAGGCTAACTGTAGGTTTTCATGCAAGACAGACAGACAGACAGACACACACACACACACATAACTAAAATACAACCAAAACACAACAAAACCAAATCAGAATGCGAACATTGTTACCAGTGGCAGGCTCGCATGGAACTGGCGTGTAATATTTGGAGTATACTTCATCTTTTGGCCGGTCGGGGAACACGTAGATAAGGTAATCCAGGTCCCCCAGGCGGTCGGCCAGGGACCGAATGGAGAAGTCTCTGGTGGTAAAAGGCATCAGATTCCAAAACATTCTTTCCTCTAGATCAATAAACAGAATAATAATGTTCTAAACATAGTTTCTGAACAAGAAATCTTAATACCCAAATATTCTACAAATGAAAGCTCTCCATTAAACTGTACCCCCCAAAAAACTCTCCATTTAAAAATAACTACAGGTTATAGATCAAATAGCTGTTTTTAAAAATTTAATTAATTTTTAAATGTTTTATTGATTTAAAAAAATTTTAAGAGACAGAGGATGGGAAAGGGAGAGAGAGGGCGAGGGAGAGACAGAGGGAAAGGGAAAGACAGAGGGAA